GCGCAGGGCCGGCCGGGTGCGCCACGCCGCCGGGCGGGCAGGCTTCTCCGGGTTCGCCTGCGCCGTTCCCCTCCCCACCCCTGGCCTCCACGGCGCGCGACGTGCCCTGCGTGTCCCCGGGCCGGGGTCCGATGGGCCGGGGCCTGCGGCGCTGGGCGGGGGCCGACGCGCTGACCTCCACCCAGGTGGACCTGTACGCCAGCGAGGCCGCGCTGCTGGACGCCGTGGTGGAGGGCGTGCGCGCGCTGGACCCCGACATCCTGCTGGGTTTCGAGGTTCAGTGCGGGGGGCTGGGCTACCTCAACGACCGCGCCGCCTCGCTGGGGGACGCACACTTCCTCCGCGCCCTGTCCCGCACGCCCGAGGTGGGGGATGGCATGGGGAGGGGTGGGGGAGGTGAGGGGGGGGAGTGAATCTGGGAGGTACAGGAGGGCGGACAGACTCATGCATCGCGCCGGGAAGGAGGTTGCTCTCTGCATGTGACGACACAGGGAAGCCGATGGGCACGGCATGCCCACAACCGGGGCCGTGCCCGACAGCCCCCTTCCCCTCCCATGCACCAACCCCCTCTCACACCCACCACACACCAGCTGGCAAGCGTGAAGGAGGCCCAAGAAGACGAGTACGGCTGGCTCAACGCCTCGGGCCTGCACATCGCGGGCCGTATCGTGCTCAATGTCTGGCGCATCATGCGGGCAGGCGCGTCAGCTGGCTGTGCCTGGGATCCAGATACCTGCGAGTGGCAAGGGACACTCGTGAGTGACCTGGCCGCCAAGCGTCGCATGCGCTCATCATATGTAACCCCTGCTCCGGCTTGCGACCCCGGGCACAAAACGTGCCCCTCCCCAAACACCACTTGCACAGAGGTGAAGCTGAACATCTACACCCTGGAGGCGGTGTCGGCAGCGGTGCTGCAGCTGCGGGTCCCTCACATCCCTCAGCACCAGCTGCACGCCTGGTACCAGGCTGGTCCGGGAGGTGAGGCGGGATGTGATGAGGTTGTAGAATTACCTTGGCATCGCCATGTGGGGATCTTGGACGAGTGCAGTGCTTGATTTTGACTGCAGGTTGCGGGGGGGGTCCCCCTGTTCATGCACGGAGGGCAGCTGGAATTGCCTATGCCACGCCATCCCACTCACCCAGCTGATGATGGGGTGCCGCCTCCTCAGACCTGCCTAGGTTCCCACATCCCCTCTCCATTCACACTTGCAGGCGGTCGGTGGCGGTGCCTGGAGGCCTGCCTGCTGCGAGCCCGGCTTAACCTCTCCCTCCTGGACCGGCTGGATGTGGTGGGGCGCACCAGCGAGCTTGCCCGCGCCTTTGGCATCGACTTCTTCTCAGGCATGGTGCCATGAGTCCATGTGGCTGTTTAAATGGCTTGCTGCACCTGCACCCCAGAAGGGGTTGGCTACCTATCATCAGTGGATATATGATCTCCCTTTTCCGGGGTGCAGCCACCTATTGACAAGGTTATACTCCTGTATACACACATAGTCCCCGCCCCCCCCTCTTTGCAGTGCTGTCGCGGGGGAGCCAGTACCGGGTGGAGAGCATGATGCTGCGGCTGGCACACACCCAGAACTTCCTGGCCCTGGCCCCCTCCAAGGAGCAGGTGGCCCGCCAGCCGGCCATGGAGATCATTCCCCTCGTCATGGAGCCGGAGTCGCGCTTCTACGCCGACCCGGTCATCGTGCTGGACTTCCAGTCCCTCTACCCCTCCATGATCATCGCCTACAACCTATGCTACTCCACCTGCATCGGCAGGGTGGCGCACGCCGCTGCAACAGCAGACAAGCCCATCCGCCTTGGGTGCTCCGAGTACGCCCTGCCGCACGGTGAGGCCTGGGGCCCAGGGTTTGAGTGCCGGGTGGGGCGGATGTGGCCATCTCGATGCCAGTGCCCATGGCGACGCAGCGCCCCAACACCCCAGCCCAGGGGCTGCAGTATGCTGGCCCCTGGGCCGTAGGATTCCCTTCTGCCAGACATGCAGCTGTGGCCTTCCCACAGACAGCCCCACTCCCGGCACCCTTGCCCAGGAACGCTGCTGGAGGATGGCTTGCACCCCTCAGACCTCCTCATCTCGCCCAACGGCATAGGCTTTGTCCCGTCCTCGAGGCGGCCAGGCGTACTGCCGCGCCTGCTGACTGAGATACTGGACACCAGGGTGATGGTGAGCCCGGGCACATGCTTCTGGCCTGCAAGGGGTAGCGGGGAGCTGTGCAGTAGCTTGCTCCGTCGACAAGACTCGAGATACCATGTCTGTGCCCCCATCCGCACCCCTCACCTGGCCATTCTCCCCGCCTCCGGAACCCCCACCTGCGCAGGTCAAGGGTGCAATGAAGCGTCTGCCGCCCGCAGCCAAGGTGCTCCTGCGCTGCCTCAACGCCCGCCAGTTTGGCCTGAAGCTGATTGCCAACGTGACGTATGGGTACACGTCTGCCGGCTTCTCAGGTAATAAGCAGGTCGGGGGTCAGAAATCCTGTCAGGAAACTGGTGGAGGGAGCATAGGGATTCCAGGGCTGCATAGCAGATGGCAGTGCATCGGCGCCCAGCCCCAGGCCTCACATGCAAGTCAGGAAGCATAGGACCTTTTCCCTTGGATCCCCTCCCTGCTTGAGGCTTCTCCCCTGCTCCCTCCTCAGGTCGCATGCCCATGGCCGAAATAGCTGACGCCATTGTCTCCCTGGCTCGGGCCACCCTTGAGAATGCCATCGATGTCATCAACAAGCATCCAGACTGGGGAGCCAGGGTGGTCTATGGCGACACAGGTATGGACTCATGGGCATGTAAGCACTGTGAAGTGATGTGGCGCAGGGGCCGGCAAGGCGGGGGAGTGCATGCTGTTGGCCCGATGCTTCGGGCTCTCACCCTACCAAGGGTCGTTAAGTATGATTAGAGCATGTGCTAGGCATACCCCTACAACTCAAGCATATCACCCCATCCTGTTGCCGCAGACAGCATGTTTGTGGTCGTCCCCGGCAAGTCACGCGAGGCGGCCTTCAAGATCGGAGCCGAGATACAGAGGGTGGTGACGGCCGCCAACCCCAGCCCCATCCTGCTCAAGCTTGAGAAGGTGTGATTTTGTGCCAGGGGTTACTCTCGGGCGAGAGGGGTCTCCGAGATCTTGAACGCTCAGAGTCTCACACACCAAGCATGCGCAGGTCTACCACCCCTGCGTGCTCCTCACCAAGAAGCGCTACGTCGGCTTTGCATATGAGTCCCACAGCCAGGCCACCCCCGCCTTCGATGCCAAGGGCATTGAGACGGTGCGCCGGGACACCTGTCCCGCCGTGGCAAAGATGATGGAGCGCAGCCTGCGCCTCCTCTTCACCACAAAGGACCTGTCGCAGGTAGTGTGCTGCGCATGCTATGCTGCAGACTGTGGGCAGGGCGCGATGGTCCTCAGTTGAATGGGCTGAATGGCTTGCCATGCACGCAAGCAAGCTTGGTGATGAGCGCGCATGAGCTGCACCCCAGTGTTCGGTTCGGTCTTTCACTGGTGTGCTGCCAGTGGCCACTCGCTCCGAAGTCTCTGGCATCATTCAAATGGCTATCATCGCAACACCCCCCCACCCCAGGTCAAGCAATACTGCGAACGGCAGTGGACCAAGATCCTGTCAGGCCGGGTCTCCATCCAGGATTTTGTGTTTGCCAAGGAGGTGCGGCTGGGTACGTACTCTGCCAGGCACGGCATCATTCCCCCCGCCGCCCTCATTGCCACACGGGCGATGTCCATGGATCCACGGTGGGTGCGGAGGAAATTCATGCCAGAGAACGTGGGGAGAGACTGAATTGATTGGAACAAAGGCTGTTTGCAGGAAGAATGTATTGTGATTGGCCTGAGCAGCAGGGAAGGGCGTTGGGAGGCGCTGTCACGCTCCCTGCTCTGGGTTTTCTCCACGAGGAGGCTTGCGTCCTCCATCCTCATGCTGGCATGCCTGCAGCGGCAAGCCGGCGAGTGACCGAGGCCATGCATGGAACAACTTCCCTTGCAGTCAACTCCCCCGATGTCATCCACTTTCGACCGCCCCATCTCTCCACCCCACATCCCCAACGCCCACTCACATCCTCCTCCCCCTCCAACACACCCACGCAGCGCCGAGCCGCGGTTCGGGGAGCGGGTGCAGTACCTGGTGGTGCACGGCGCGCCTGGCGCGCGCCTGATCGACATGGTGGTTCCCCCCTCCGCGCTGGTGGAGGCCCGCGGCCGCCTGCGCCTGCACGCCCTCTACTACATCACCAAGCAGATCGTGCCGGCACTGGACCGCGTCTTTGCGCTGATGGGCGTGGACGTGCGCGCCTGGTTTGCCGGCATGCCCCGGCCCGGCCTACTCCTGCCGCACAAGCGCCCGGCGCGGGACGCCAGCGCCACGGGCGGCAGCACCATCGACCGGTACTACCTGTCGCGCCACTGCGCCGTCTGCGACGAGCTGACGGCGGCCTCCCGGCCGCTGTGCCCACGCTGCACGGGCGAGCCCCAGCTCACCGCGGCCGTGCTGGCGGCGCGCCTGAACCGGCTGGAGAGGCAGAACCGCCACCTTCTGCGCCTGTGCGTGCACTGCGGCGGCGGGGGCGCGACGGGGGAGGGCGGCGCGGGGGACGACTGTGAGTGTTTGGGTGTGGGGGGATGCCGTGTGGGTGGAGAAGGAGGGGTGGTTGGAGAATTGGAACGAGGAGAGGCGGGAAGTGGGCTTCATGAAGCCTGGGGCCCTGCTGCATGGCGGTGTCCATGGAGGCAATACGGAGTCGGCAAGCTGCCCCGAGGGTTCAGATTTGAGACTGGTGCTCAACAGAGCTGCGTGGGTGGGTTGGAACACCCCTGCATAGTCTGATGTTCAACACTCAACCAAACCCACCACCGTTGTGCGCAGGGAGCATCGCCTGCACCTCTGCTGACTGTGGGCTGTGGTATGAGCGGAGGAAAGCATGGCACGAGCTGCAGACCGTGGCCGGCATGGCCGAGGCCGGCGCCAAGCAGCTCGCTGATGGGGACGAGGACCTGACTTGAAAGGGCGATGGAGCAGGGGCCAGCGATCTCTACGGTCCTGTCTCATAGAGACTTCCGCGGGGCACTGCCATTGACTTGACGCCGTACGTTCAAACCTGCATCCCATGCCAACCTGTTCTTCCACATGTCCCAAAAAATCCCCAATCTTGGAGAAGAGGTTGAAAACTCCCACTTGATACCCATTTACATGTAGAAGTTATTTCGCAACTCGAATACATCTTCTCTCTTTGTGACCTTGATCCTCTGAATTCCTGAGAGCCTGTCACTGGGACCAGCAGCAAGGCGAGTAGCACGAGCGCGCGCGCGCGATGACATTCAAAAGGTGGAAGCCACTGACAGGAACTCGCATCGACCTATGTACGATCCCGCGCATCCCCTCTGTGCATGGATATATGAAACAAATAACAATGGTCATCAGTGGAACACTGCACGTCTCGGCAGTGGGACTGCCGCCTCGCGTCGTGAAAACCTGGCGAGGTCTCGGAGTTCCCTCGCGTTCCTTCTTCCGCGGTTCTCGCCTCCTTTTGTCTCCCAACGGAAGCTCCAACCATGATGGACGGTTTTACGGGGCGGGACTCCCGAGATCCCCGTCTCGAGCGAGGTCTCAGGTGGTCGTGGCAGCCCTATTTGAGAAGTTCACGGAACGGTCCATCAAGTCGGTCATGCTGGCACAGCAGCTCGCCCGGGACATGAGCAGCAACGAGGTGAGACTGGAAGACTTTGATTCCGGAACACTGCAGGGCGATGCCTGTAAAAAGCATGCTGGCGCTGGGCAAGGCCATATGCATTGGCATACCAGACCTGGGCTATCTGGTTCCTTCAGTGCTCTGATGCCTGGCAACCCCGCTCTCCAACAGGTGGGCACGGACCACTTGATCCTGGGACTCATAGCCGAAGCCTCCAACAAGCCGTCGGCGGGCAGCCTGGCGACGCATGTACAGGTCCGCCGGGCTGGGGTAACAACGGTCTGGAGTGCACAATCTTATGGGATCAGGAGGGGTCGGCATCATGCTCGACAGCATACTTCCAGACCCCCTGCGCGCCCCAAACGCGTCCCCCGCCCTCCCCACTGCAGCTGGAGGATGCCAAGGCCGCGGTGAAGGGCATGCACAGCAGATCCCGCAGGCGACCCCCCCCCAACGAGCTTCACTTCACCCGGGACGCCAGGCGGGTCTTCTCCGTCGCACTCCAGGTGACATTTGGGGTCGCCCCTGAGAGCTGATCAGTCTACCACTGACAGGGTAAGGTTGGAACCCCTGTCGACGTGCACCCTTTCAAACTGAACCCCTGTGTCAACCCATAACCCCTGGGTTCCCCCACCCGATGCAGGAGTCGCAGCGCATGGGCATGTCCTTCGTGACCCCGGACCACCTGGTGCTGGGCATGGTGGGTTGCAGGGACGACGCCGCGCTGCGCCTGCTGCGCGCGCTGCGCCTGGACCCACGGCGCATGGTGGCCGAGGCGCTGGGGCGCCTGCGGGACCAGGCCGTGGAGGAGGGGACGCAGCGTGCGCGGCGCGGTGTGGAGGCGGCCATGGCCCCTGCGGGCGCTGGCCGCGCCGCGCCGGGGCCAGCGCCCGAGCACCCCGGCGCGGGCGAGCGGGGCAAGGTGCTGGACACGTACTGCCGCGACCTGACCGCCGCCGCCCTGGCTGGCCGCATCGATCCGGTGCGTGCGCCTCGGGGCGGACTGGTTCGCCGTGGAAACTGCATCTGATGCATGCTTGCGTGGCCGAAACCTGCCTGCCTGCATGGACGCCGACTGGGAATGGTCGTTCGCCCCAATTGCAGAGTCCTCCCTTGGTCCTCCTCGTCTCGAATCCTCGCCGCTCAGATTCGCCCCCCCCGAACCCCCCGACAGGTGTTCTGCCGCGAGGCCGAGATCGCCAGGCTGATGCAGGTGCTGGCCCGGCGCCGCAAGAGCTGCCCTGTGCTCCTGGGCGAGGCCGGTGTGGGCAAGACGGCCATCGTGGAGGGGCTGGCCCGCTGCATCGCCACGGGGAGCGGCGGCCTGGCAGGCCAGCCCCTGCCCCTGTTTCTGAAGGGCATGCGCGTGCTGAGCCTGGACCTGGCCCGCCTCATGGCCGGCACACGTGAGCGCGGCGAGCTGGAGGCGCGGCTCACGGGGCTGGTGGCCGAGGCTGGCGCCGCGCCCGACGTCATCCTGTTCGTGGACGAGATCCACCAGCTGGTGGGCGGCGGCGCGGCGCTGGCAGGCCGCGGCGGCATGGGCGGCGGCGGCGGCCCAGACCTCGCCGCGCTCTTCAAGCCGGCGCTGGCGCGGGGGCGGCTGCGTTGCGTCGGGGCCACCACGGAGCGCGAGTTCCGGCGCCACTTCGAGCGCGACCCTGCCCTGGAGAGGTCTGCGTTGGATTTTGTTCTACTTTTTTAGGGGGGGGGGAGGGGCGGATGTGTAGAGGAGGAGCCGCCCCATCTGGCGTCCTTGCCCCGGCTCGCCGGTCTCGGCGCAGCGCGTGGCCGGGCTCCTCCCTCACCGTATTGCCTGCCCTCCATCCCGCCGGACCAAATGCAAAACGACCCCCCCCGCAGGCGCTTCCAGCCGGTGTGGGTGGAGGCACCCGACGCGGCGGCCACGCTGGGCATGCTGCGCGGCTCGCGGCCCGCCTACTAGGCCCACCACCGCTGCCTGTACACCGACGCGTCCCTTGTTGCGGCAGTGGCCCTAGCCGGCCGCCACCTCCCCGCCCGCCCCTTCCCAGACAGCGCGCTGGATGTGTTGGACGAGGCCGGCAGCCTGGTGCGGGTGCTGAAGCACCGCGCGCGCCGCGCGCGGTGCGAGGAGGAGACCGAGGCGCGCGCCGCCGCGCACGCGGGATACCTGGAGGTCCTGGCCACGGCGCGCGACTGCGCGGCGGCGGGACACTACGAGGAGGCCGGCCTGCTGGCGAGGCGCCGCGGCGAGCTGGAGGCAAGGCTGGGCGGCGAGGCGAGGCGGGACCCGGTGCTGCCGCGCGTGACGCCGGAGCACGTCGCGCGCGTCGTCAGCGCCGCCACCGGCGTGCCCTTCGAAGAGCTCGTGCTGGCGGAGGGCGGGGCAGGGGCAGGCGGTGAAGTGGCGGCCGGGGGCGGGCGGTGAAGTGGGGGCGGGAACGAGCGGCGCAGGGGGGCTGCTCCAGCATTTGAGGGTGAGCGTGTGAGGGGCGGCAGGATGGCAAGGTGGAGAGAGGGAAGATGTGAGGGGAAGGGGTTTGGCGGGGCATGCGTTCGGTGTGGGAATGGAGGAAGAATCATGACGGGGCTGCCGGGCGCCGCTGTGATGCGTGTGGCGGGGGCGACACACTGCATGGGGTCTCGGCAGTTGGAGGCGGCATCGGACTTGCCGTGACCCTTGGCTCCATGCCCCATGGCCAGATCGACGCAGCTGGTGTGACCTGTGTGCTCCTGACGCCAGCCGCTCGGTCCCCTCGTCCTATCCACCCCACTCTTCCCACCATCCAGGACCGCATAGTAGGGCAGGACGCCGCATGCCAGGCCGCGGCGCGGGCGCTGACTAGGTCGGGCGCGGGGCTGCGTGATCCCGGCAGGCCCCAGGCCGGGCTCCTCTTCGTCGGCCCCCCTGGCTGCGGCAAAGGCCTGCTGGCCGAGGCGTTGGGCGAGCGCCGTTTCGGCGGCAGCGTGCTGCGCCTGGACATGAGTGAGTGCGGCCAGCGGCACAGCGTGTCGCGGCTGCTGGGCGCGCCCCCGGGATACCAGGGGTACGACAACGGTGGGACGCTGACCGAGCCCGTCAGGCGAGTCAAGGTGGCTGGTGGGACTGTGGTTTGTGTTAGACGGCCTGAGAAGGCTCAGGGTTGTGAGTCTCGATGGTGCGAGAGTGAGGCATGCAATGGACCCTCTTGTCTGGCAGAGCGGCGGCGGAGACGTCGTCGTTGACGCCCATGATGCATGAGCAGCGCCGCTACAGTTGCGGCAACCTCCCTCATTCAATCAACGGTCCCCCCTTCCAACCCCCACAGGCGCCGGCCCCACTCCCTGGTCATCCTGGACAGCATCGAGAAGGCGCACCCGCACGTGCTCAACCTCCTGCTCCAGATCCTGGAGGACGGAAGGTGGGGAGCGTGTGTTGGGGGGTGGCGTGGGGGTGACATGCGTGGGGTGTGGAGAGCGGCTGGGCTGTGACATCTGGCTGTCTAGGCTTGTCCCAAGCATGGCCCCCAATTCCTGTGATGGCAAACTATTCTCCTCCACATCACCCCCCCCATAACTCAAAGGCTGGCGGATGGCAGTGGGCGCCAGGTGTCGTTCAGGCAGACGGTGGTGATCCTGATTAGCACCTCCCACGAAGCCTCGGGCCGGGGCGGCCTCGGCTTCGAGCCGGCACCTGCCTCCCAGGCCGAGGCCGAGGCTGCCGCCGCCCAGCGTGCGCGGCGTGAGATCCTGGACAGCCTCAAGGCGAGCTAGATGGGGGGCCAGGGAGGGCAGATTATGAGCCTGTGGCTGTCCATGGTGAACGATCTCTGGAGGACGCCATGGCCCCCCGGACGCCCTTGCGAACCTGAGTTGTGCGAGCTCATCCAATGAAAACACTCCCACACATACACCCTTTGCAGGAGCGTTTCCCGCCCGAGCTCCTCAACAGGCTGGACGACATCGTCGTCTTTGAGCGCCTGGCGCCCCAGCACCTGCATGCCATTGCAGAGCTGGAAATCGCGGCGCTGGCCCGGAGGCTGGAGCCCCTGGGCATCCTTGGCTTGACGGTGCGCGCGGGGCATGCCTGCTCCAGGCGTCCAGGAGGAGTGACACAGATGCACCCGACGCCAGAGGCATCGTTGCGATGCCATGCCCCACCGAACCCTTCCACCCCCCACCCGCAGGCCTCGGCGGAGCTCAGGGCCTTCCTTGCGCGCGAGGCATGCGCCGACGGGCGCGGGGCGCGGGGGCTTCGGACCCTGGTCTCGGGCCTCTTGGCCGACGCCGTGGCCGACGCGCTGCTGACAGGGCAGGTGTCCAGGGGACAGGGCGTGCACTTGACCCTGGTCGCTGATGGACAGGTCGGCGTGCAGAGCCTGCCGGCCGCCGCCGCGCCGCTGGAGAACAACGTGGTCCCCGCCGCACCCACCGCGGGGTCGGTGCCCAGCGTCGAGCGGCGCGCTGACCGGGGCCAGGATGCCTGGACCCCGGCTTAGAGGCGTCATGGGCGGGCAAGTGCAGCGCCATCCCACCCCCCTCCTCTCCACAAGACACCCCAGTTGTAAGGGAGCATGCAAACGACGTCGCTCTGGGGAAAGACCACCACCCACCACCTCACGTGTAGACTGGCGAATAATACTGTAGAATGCCTGCCCAGGAGACAGGACCATCTTTCTCTCCCTCCCTTTCCGGTATTGTGTTTCAGGAACTCTCCAACCCTCCACCACCGTGCCTGTGGCCGATCGAACTCAGACAGAACCAAATCCATGTACCTGCCTCACGTGTACCCATGCCTGTCCTGCAACCCCGCCCTCATACCTCACCTCCCAGCCCCTGTACCCTCGTGCCGATGTGATACAGCAAGATTCATGTTACATACGACAATCTTCTCGGAGATGTACTTGCGTGCTGGGTGGAAGAAGTACACTCGTCAGTGCCGGCGGGCGCTCAGAGCGTGAGCCCGGAGTCGTCGCCCTTGTCGCCCCCCAGGTCCCTCTGGCTGTTGTAGTACGCGGCCCAGACCAGGCCAAACACAATAGCCAGCACCCAGAACAGGGAGGCGTCGTTGATGCCCAGGATCTGGCCAGTGCCGTCGCCGTTCAGGCGCTCATCCACCAGCGCCAGCGCCGGGTGAGTCGCCAACAGGCTGGGCAGGGCCACAGCCGCACCGACAAGGCCACCCAGGGCCACGCGCTTCTGGGCGGGCTGGGCCTGGGCGCGGCACACCATCATGCTGCGACCTATTGGGAAGGGAAGGGGAGGGGGGGGGAGACGCACGGGTGAGGAGCGCATGGCGTGGAGCCTGGGCTGTGCATTGCTGTGTGGCCAGGCTTTGAAACAGAGACCTGCCCTGGGACACTGCGCCCCACAATTTTCCCTGCGCCCGCATGTGCACCCGGCTCCTACCGCGCGCTACCGGCGCCAAGACACCTGAATTCATGAGGGAAGGGAGGTGTGAGACCGGAAACGCATGCTGCATGCCGGGCGCCTCCATGCGATCCCACAGAATCTGGGGGCCTCACCCGAGCTACGGACGGGCCGGAGGCCCACGCTGGGGGAGACGCACACAGTCTGCATGGCGCACTCGTGGATTTCTGTCGAGTCGATGCGTCGAACGGGAACGTGGCAGCGGGTTGGGGCGTTGGTAATGCTGCGATCGACGGGGGAATGGGTGTAGATGTGGTTGCTCGTCCCGGAGTATCCGGGGACAATCCACGGTGATCCGACCCCGATTCCAATTTTGTGCCAAGGGAATTGGGCGCAGTGCATGCTCCCTCCCCATGCTGGCTGGTGAGGCACACCCACACGAGGCGTTTTGTCGATATCTCGACCCGCAGTTTGTTTTGTTTTGCAAAACCGACATGGGAACGACTGGGTGACAGCAGCAGGAAGGGGGAGAGGGAAGCAGCAAGGATACAGGGACAGGGTGAAGGGCAGGCAGCACCAGGGGAGGCGGACCCCTCACATGGCCAGCGCCGGTGCGGCATCCACATCCACGGACATGCCCTCCTCGAAGTCCTCCTCGCTCTCGTCGTCCCCAGCAATCTCCCTGTCGAATCGAGGGGAGTTGGCGAGAGGGATGTCGATGGGTGGTTCGAGCCCCCTCCATTGTGCCGAAGTGTGGTCACCTCACTCCCAGTCACAAGCAACTCATCTGCCCCAAGCATACACAGAGCCCTGATCCCTCACCATCCACGTTCATCTCCTACCTTTCCCACCGGGACCCCCCCCTCTTTCCCCCCCAAAACACCGGGGCACCTGTTGGCTGCCTCGGCCGCCTCCAGCTCCTCCTGCAGCAGCTTCTCCTCCTTCTCGGACACCGCCCTGGCGGCCTCCTTCACCCGCAGGCTGCCGCGCTGGGCCTCCACACTGGCCTTGCAGGCCTCCACCGCCGCCGTCAGCACCTCGATCCCCCGCGCCTTGTCCAGGGTCTGGGTGGTGAGGACGTAGAGCGGTGGCGCCACCAGCTTGATGGACACCTCGCACTCCTCGCTGGACTGTGCCAGCGCGGCGCGCATTGCGCCCTTGATGTGCTCCACGCCGTCGTAGGCGAAGCAGGTCATCTCCACGTCCGCCCGGATCTTGATGGGCTGCGGCGTCATGCGCCGCTTGATGTTCTTCAGGATGCCATCCAGCACCGCGGGCGTGAGCACCGCCGGAGTCTCGCCGGAGTGCACCTCGGTCCGCAGACGCTCCAGCACGGGCTCGGGGTCGGGGATCATGCCGCGGAAGGCATCGTAGGCATGGCCGTACAGGCGGTACAGGGGCCAGCCCACCTGGGAGTATAGGTCATCCAGCTCCACGCCGCAGGTCTCGGCCACATGGCGCATGATGGAATGCACCATGCGCGACTTGGCGAACCGCTCCTCGCATTTCTGAAGCGAGGGACAGGGGGCCAGGAAGTGGTGGGGAGGGAGTGAGACGCATATACCCATGCGTGGGGAATCTGGGCCTGCGCAAGACGGCGGCATGCTCGGGGTCCTGCCTGCAAGGTATCCCGCATGCAACACCAGGCTGAAAGGATGATCAGGCCCAGCCCTCACCCCCTTCAAACAGAAGCAAACACACGAAGCCCCTCCATGTCCCCAGCACACGTACCGCCACGTCCTCGGGGTTGACACGGCGCTTGGAGAGGTCAATGTAGCCCTTCTCCTTGTCCACACGCAGGACCATGACCGGCTCCTGCCGCCCGACCTTGATGAGCTTCTGCACCGAGCGGATGCGGCGCCGGGACAGCTCGGAGAGCAGGATCATGCCCTCGATGCCGCCATACTCCAGCAGCGACACGTAGGCCCCCATCTCGGCGATGGACTTGACCTGGACCATCACCACGTCGTCCATCTCCGGGTAGCGGCTCTCATAGAACCTGGAACGGGGGATGGACCCATTGGAATGGGGTAGATGGTGATGTGTATTTATAGATACATTCCTCCCGATCCATGGCCCAGTGGAAGCTCACCGGCAGTCCTGGTGCGCCATTCTGAAACCGAGTGCCGCAGCCCCACGCCCAGGTTTTCCTCCCAGAATCGACCGGATGAGTGGTATTCGGCAGAACAATTCAGTCTTGGAATGCCTTGGCTGATCTTGTGGCGCCTTACGCCTGCCTACTTCCAATCGACCTGGCTCTGTGCCGCCGGCGCGCGTTCTGAGGCACGACCTCCGAAGGTCTTGCATGGCATAGAGGTCTGTGGCGTGGGATTCAAAAGTCATCACACTCAGAAAACTTCACCAACATCACATTATTGCCTCAATATGTCCATGACTTTCGACAGATCCCCTAGGCCTTCAAGGATGGTGGCGCTGGGAGCTGCCACCAGCAACTGCTCCTTGGTGTAGATGCCGGTGGTCACGCCCAGTGGCACAGCCCCGGCATCTGCAGCGGCCTGGACGTCCATGGGGGCATCCCCGATGTGGAATCGGGCTGTTATGGGGCCATCTGTGTGCATAGTGAATGTAGAAGGGTAGGAATATGGGAGGGGAAGTCGATGTAGGTGTGCTCAGTTGATTAGGAAGCAGGAGAAAAGATCAAAGTCCAGCGACTGCATCCATCCACCTGAGCCAGCATGCATACAAGCAGGAGCTCTGTGCTGCATGCGCCAACCCCACCTGCTTGCCCGGCCGCCTTCATTGCTGCCAGGCGGATGAACTCGGCACGATCCCGCCATGTCTCCTCCGTGTTGCCGCTGCAGAAGTCGCTCCCAAAGCCGCCAAAGTGAGGCGTCGAGAAGAGGTCGGACAGGCCCAGGGCCTGCATCTTGCCCCACCCGATCGGCTCCAGATTCCCGGTGACGAGGCAGGTCATGAAGTCTGTGTCTTCCTGGTGACCAGCGGCGGATTTGAAGGATACCACAGGGTCAGCATGGGCTGCCACTCAGCAACGGCGCGCTGCACAAGACTCCTGGTGTACTTACCTCTGTTTCCTTTTCCTATTCAAGCACACAGATCACATCCCACACTCAATCCCGCGCCGCATCACACCTTGAGTGCCTTGAGTAGATCGACAACGCCCGGCAACACCTCCAAGCCATCCCCGGCCCGGTCGATGTTTGCAGCAAAGTAGCTGTTCATGGCTTGCTGAAGCGCTGGGAGAGAGGCCATGGCCTGGGAGGGGGCGGCGCGGCCATCGTGTTGCCAGATTTTAGGGAACCCATCAGGTGGGCTTCACAGACAGCTACATGGCAACCATATGGAAGTGGTCCCGCTCCTCACCTCTGCCTTGGGAATTCCATGCACTACAAGCACTGCCACCAGGATTAAGGTGTCGGTGGAGCCGTGGTGCGGGATCACGTCGATTGTGGTGTCAATCCCAAACACTTGTTTGAAGGCAGCAGTGAAAGCCTCCCGGTGCAGCTGGTTGGCCCTGGCTCCAATGCTCTTGATCAGGGTGCCATCGACATCGAATGATACGAGGCGTGGCATGGCTGCTGCTGGACCGCCGCAAGATCTCGAAGGTCGCCGTTGTAGGGACAGGGCAGGGCTGAAGGGGGACGTCAAAGGCGTGTTACGTGCGCAGAGCCAGGGCCCAGATCGAAGTACTCTCATGCAACAATCAATACAAATTCCAGTGTATTTATGCCCGATGTATGCCATCTGCCTGCAGACGCTTCCCACAGCATGTGTCGACATGGCGTAACGAGCCTGGACAGTTGCACGCTTTCCCGCGCCCTGCGTTGCGGAGTAGCCTTCGCGCATGCCGCACCCTGCAAAGCAACCCAACGAGCTCAATGAGCTATTCCTGAAGGAGAAGGTTGTGATTGGCGAGAGATCTGATCTGGCTGGTTTGGGGATCGTCGAACCCCGCCAACGTGCCCGATGTCAACGGAGGAGCAGCCCACCACATCCTCTGACAAGCCGGGCGGGCTTGCACACAAGCTGACATCAGGTGGGGACTTGCCTGACCTGCAGTGCGCGGGAGCAGGCTTCAGCGTCCTGCCGAACCAACCCTGCTCCTCGGCACGCCTGCGCACAGGGCTGAATGAGCAGGTGCAGGATGTGACGAGCTCCCTGTCCGCGATCCTGGATCAGGGCCTGGCAACTGCCTCCGATGTGGTGCGGAGTAGTACTGCCGTGGCCACAAGTGAGGCCAATAAAGCGGCTTCTCAGGCCAAGGTAGGACCCTGCTGATCTGAGCCTGTGCCGCCTTCTCGTCCATCGACTGGGTGAGGGGCAGCCTCGTATGCCGACCAGCAGCAGCAAGCACCTGTCCTGTGCCACCCTGCAGGACCTGTACTCCCAGGCTGAGCTGCAGTACAAGCAGGGAGAGGCTGCCGCATTCGGCTACCTGAAAGGTGGGCCTGGGTGCTCTCCCTAGGAGCAGCAGGGGGTGTGCGCCAGTGGGACGAGCATGCCCTCTTTCCTTGAGCGGCACGGAATCCACCTTGCCGCCATTTGGGGTGCCCACAGAGGGCGTGCGAACGGTGGTGGACAACAAGGAGACGAGCATCGCCATGGCCATCGGCGTGGCCGCCATCGGTCTGCGCGGTCCGCGGCGTTTTCTGTGGCGGCACACACTGGGCCGGCTGCGCAGCGAGGAGGCGGTCTTCAAGTCGGCGGAGTTGCGCAGCGTCGTGCTGGCAGAGAAAGTGGAGGGCCAGGCGCTGGAACTGAAGAAGCTGCAGGTGAGAAAGGGGTGTTGGGGTTGGGAGAGGCACACTGTGAGGGGACACCTGGCATGTAGGATTTTGTTCCCTGAGCCTGTGGTATAATCAACGCCGACTCATGGATACTGCAATGTTCCATGGTCTCTTTTCCCGGTCCCTACAGGAGCGGCTTGGTCTGGCTCAGGCAGAGTATACCAGAGGCCTGAGCAAGCTGAAGGCCACCGCATCAGAGCTCCAGTCGCTCTCCTCTCGCATTGGGGGCACGCAGCAAACGGCCTCAGGCATGTGGCAGGGTTGGCGTGGTGGTGACTGGGGCTGAGGGTGTGCAGTGGTAGCGTCTGGAGGGCTCTGAAGTCTGCCCAGCAGTTGAAGTCATCCTGAGCCAGCCGCCCAATCCTCCCTTCCTGCCCAACCAAGCAGGTCTGGTGCAGGACCTGCGCTCACTGCCCAGCAAGCATGCCCTCTCCCTGCGCTCAGAGGTTGCCCAGAAGCTGGCAGTGGCAGAGACGCAGCGCAAGGCTGTGGACAAACTGGTCCTGGGGCTGGCGAGGCAGGGCATTTAATGATTGAACCTGCTCTCACACCTCGGGGTAGAGTATCAGCAAGGCATGAGTGCCCTCTTACAGCTCTCCATCTGTACAAGCTCGATACTGACCCCCCAGATACTCGGATGCTATCATTGCTACTGCCTTGGGCCCTGCTGCTCAAACAAGCTGCCCAGAAGTCATGGGAGAACAGGTCGGGCAGCCTGAGTGGCTGCAGGGAGCCGGCAGAGATCGTCAGCCAAGCATGTGCACTGCATAGCACGCCGCTCCAGTCACGTTCAGCGCCGCCTCTGCAGCGCAGAATATGGGTTGTTGCGGTCGTATGGCGCAGGGGCCTGGGGCGGGGGCCTGCCCCTCGCGTCAGAGGAGTATTGTGGCCCCCCAGGGTACTGCGAGCCCCCTCCCCAGGCTTGATGCCCGCCACCAAAGCGCTGCATGGGCCGGGAGGGCGCCCCATCGCCCCGGCCCCCGTACTGCGGCGGCTGGTGCGGCGTGGCATCGTATGCTCCATACTGCGGCGGCTGGCGCGGCGCGGCGCCGCCGTAGCTATACCCGCCGTAGTCGCCATCCCGTGGACCTGGCGGGGGGTTGTACCCTCCCCCATACTGCTGGCCAGCGTAGGCAGGGTGCGGGGCAGCCTGTGCATACCCTCCTCCTTGGCCGTATTGCTGCTGGCCATACTGCTGGCCTTACTGCTGCCCGTACTGCTGCTGCTGCCCGTACTGCTGCCCGTAATGCTGCTGCTGCCCGTACTGCGGCTGCTGCTGCCCGTACTGCTGCTGCCGTGGCAGCCCGGCGGCGATGTGGCGCCGCGCGGCGTCGCCCACGTGCATGCCGTGCGGGGGTCCCCCCCTGCCGCCGCCCCGGCCCGGTCCGCGGGTGTCCTGGTGCCACAGCGGCTTGTCGGCCTGCAGGTCCTCAGCCGTGACGATGGGCTCCTGCCGGATTGGAACGGGGGTGCAGGCATGAGTCCTCGCCTTGGGGATGATGCCCTGGGAGGGCAGAAGGCCCGGCTCCAGCGGGCTGCGCCTAACACATGCCACCGCGCAGGCTCCGGCACACACGTGCCCGCCCCCCCCCGACCCCCTCACCTCCTCCACGGCCCCCGGCAGTAGCGCGCAGACATGCTTAGCGTGCGGGGGCAGGCGGTATGCAGCGCAGACCACCGCGTTGGGCGAGACATCGGGCCCCAGACCAAAGGGCGCGGGCAGGACCGCAGGGCAGGCCTCGCCCCCGGGGGCCAACACCTCGCCGCCCATGCCCTGGCTCAGCTCCGGGTCGAGGGCGCGGGCGGCGGCCCGAGCCTGGTCCCCGCCCGCCGCACCGCCCCCCCCCCTTCCGCCAGCTCAACCAGCTCGGGCGCCAGCGGGTGGGCCCCGGCGACGTACACCTGCTCCAGACGGCGCGAGTTGCGGAAGGCCTCCTCCGGCGTCAGCGCGCCCTCCAGCGGGCGCGTGCTGGCCAGCAGCCGCGCCTCGTCGATGAAGGGCAGCAGCGCCACGCCCTGCCAGGCGAAGCGCTTGCCGTTCATGTCCACCTTGAAGTCGCGTGGGTAGAAGTCCAGGATGGGGGAGTCGGCGGCCGTGAACAGGGGGCGGAAGGGGGCGGGGAGGGCGGGGGCGCTGGCCGCGGGCAGCACGCCCATGAGCTGGTCGAAGGGCTTGAAGGGCTCGCCCAGGTCGAAGGCCACCTCCAGCCCCGCCAGGTCGACCATGTCGGAGGCGAAGGGCGCGTAGTGGTGCGGGTAGTACCAAGTCCAGGAGGCCACGCCGTCGTAGTAATAGCGCATGACCCAGCACAAGCCCTCCACGAAGGCGGAGACCAGGGAGCGGGTCACGGCCGCCAGCTCCTCATCGCTCTTCACGCCAAACTTGTCCTCGTAGTACCGCCACTTCCAGCCCTCCTCCCCCAGCCGGATGCGCCCCTCGTGCGCAACCATGTCGTCAAACAGGTCGGCCTTCTCCTTCAGCTCCTCCTTCATCTTCTCCTTGTACGCGGCGATCGCCTCCGCCGCCTCCGTCGCCGTCTGTGGCGGATGCAGGTGGAGGTGGGGGCGGGTATTTGTACGGAGGGCTGAGAGGTGAGGGCTCCCAGGTACGAAACCTCACAGCACCAACAGGGGCGAGGGGGCTTGGTGATCTCTGAGTTCCGTCAACCAGTGCCTGCTGCCCTGCCAGCCCGCACGCAGCCAGACATGGTGATGCTGCCCTGAGGGTGGGGCGCAATCATGAGCCTCCCAGACCCAACCATACATGGTCGAGCCCGGAGCGCCGGCCAGCACTCATCGACGCGCCGCATTCCAAACGCAGGGGCCCCTTTCCGGCAAACCTTCCGTCTAGAATAGGAACACCCCTCCCCCGGCACACCTTCACGGCGACATCGCCAACCAGCTCATTCAAGGTCTCCTCCGCCTCCAGCTCGTCGTCATCATCCGCGGTCTCTGCCAAGCCTGCGGTGCAGGGGACAAAGCCATGCTGGGCGTAGTAGCTTCAACATGCTCTTCCCAGGCCCCCACCCCAGTACCAACATCGACCAGAGCCATTCAAGCCCTGCGCACCCTGCGTGTCTCTCTTGGAGTCCATGCCGACCCCCGTCCTCCCTGCCAGCGAGCCCCAGAACTCGGCCGGGTCTGGGCCGGAGGGGGCGATCTCTGCGCCTCCCTCTCTCTGCGCCTCTCCGTCGCCCAGCTTGGCGCGCTTGCTGTCGGGGGCGTCCTGCTGTGCCGCGGGCGACGCGCCCGCCTCCTCCTTGGCGCCAGCGCCGGCCTCCTCCTCTTTGACATCGGTGACGACTGCCTTCTCGTCGACGGCGCCGGTCTCCCCATCACCCCCGACACCACCCTGCCCATCATCCACTGCCGCCTCGGGCTCCCCCTCCTCCTCCCCTCCCGGGTCCAGACCGGGGATGCCGGTGGGAGCACGCTCCCGCTTCTGCCCCGCGCCGGCAATGCGCGCCCTGAGCGCCGCAGCCGCGCCCTTGTTGCTGGCCGGCTGGGCGCTGGCCGCCGGGCCCCCTGCGGCCTCCTTGGCATCGGGTGGAGGTGCCGCGGCGGCGCCGTTTGTCGCCGGCGGGGCGAGGGAGAAGGGCGCGGCGGGCGTGCGCAGGGCGGCCGACAGCCTGCTGGTGGAGGACAGCTCCTTGGCGATGGCCTGCGCGGCGTCCGCCACGGAGCGGGCAGGGGCTCGGGTCCCCCACTTGCTGTGCTTCTCTGCCTTCCTCCGCTCCTGCATGTCGAGTGGGTTGGTGGACCGCGTTGAGGTGGGGAAGATGAGAAATGAGACGGGGAGGACGCACTCGGGAGGCTGTACTTGAGCAAAAAGGGTCCCTGCCCCAGGTGCCGATTCATCTTCTCCCTTGCTCCTGGTGGTATCCCCAGCACAAAATCCGAGCCATCTCTTTTACCAAAACCCCGAGGACGCTCCCTTGGCTCCATGCTCCCTCCACTCCCATCCACCTCCCCCTCCCCCCCTTCCCCCGCCCCCTCCCCCC